CAGCTTTCCTTGAATGGTAAGCGGTTCATATAATACCATAAAACAAATGGTTTGATCTGAGGGATGATTAGCATATGGTATCTCTGGGCTTTGATACACTTTTAGATACGTTTCTAAACTTGCCCGCTGTTTAACAATGACTGCACAAGATACCTTCAATGGTAGTTGGTTTATATGGTCCACAAGATGGTTTGGTCTAACCCTCTCAACAATGGTTGACATGTGGTATCTCTGGGAATTCATGTTCATACCTTTAAAAGTTTTGTGGAATTCAACCAAAACATGTGGACCTCTTTCTTGTGTCGGCCTTACTGTCACAATGGTCATGCCTTACCATTTCCTAACTCAATTGCTAATTATTTTACCGCTTTCATGTTCACGAACATCTAACTGTGTGCTGCTTTCTTCCCATGAATTACCTATTTTACACTATACTGTCAAAATTAGTGCACTCAAAATATATGAAAAAAAAATGTTCTCGCCATTTTCCTATTACACTCAGTAAGTCACTACAAATTTCATTGCTACAGATTTTTCTTCCTACTGTGACATTAGTAAGCTACTGACCTTTGTAGTGTAAGATCATCAAACAAATCATCAGTAATATGACATGAAACCATCAGATCAATGCACGTTGATAAATTTAAATCCTTGTACATACAACCGTCCTTTTCTTCTGGTCACATGAAAGTAATAGTATTTTGTAGTTGTGTTTATTTCATCACCACAGTTAGTATTGCTTCGGATGATCTAATATCATCGCCCTTTGTTCTATATTAGTGCGCTTTCTGTGAGACGCCTTTGAATATTATACATGCCTCCTATATTTAAAATAATACAGGTCACACTTACCATTGATTAGTTAATCAAACATTACTTGCCGATTCGCAATTTCTAATGCTATGTTTTCCAGCCCGGCAAAGTCGTCGACCCATGTTGAAAAGCAACCTGCAAAGAGGAAGCTGTTTGAGAAACAATCTACTCATGAGGAGGTTTGTCCTATTTGTATTCACAGATCATATCTTTTTCCCACTGTCAGATTGTACACGCAGCGATTCGATACTAGACCTGCATTCCCACACATAACAAATGTGAGTACAGACTTCACGTTAACTATGCTCGGCAACCTCTCTGTTCATCACGTGCTTTTCCTATAGGATCAAACAACCTTCGTTGAATCTGCTCATGAGACCTCTCAGGGCACTCAACATAGACGTCAGATCACGGCCATGATAAGAGTACACACGAACAGCATCCAGAGGACCACCTAGACAGCCGAGCAAAAAGGTATTAAACACTAACTATGGATTGGAAATCCACGTTTTTTGTCAGACTGTTTACAATGATAAGTTAGAACATGAGCATATAATCCTTCTGTGCAACTTCTCAACAATAATAAATATGAACTGCTTCCAGACCAAGAGGTCAGGATACTAAACCGCAGGCCAAGTCTAGTGGACGCAAATCATCATCAGGCAATCAGAAAAAATGATAAAGGTTTTTACATACATATTACCATGTTTTTTTAAAGTCACCTTCAACACTCCTATTATCACCTCAACCTATCTGATGTTTTGTACAGCTTGTGAAACCCCTTGGTGCATCGCCTTGTGCATGGCCGTCACAACGCGTACAGCTAAGCTCATCTTCAGCACAATGTACATTGAGATTTACAATGCCGGTTCAAAACTTGGCTGCCTAAGTTACTATACCAGCACGCAATCTGTGCGCTTTTGGACCTCGTCGTCAGCATTCTTGTATAGTCTAGGATCCCACTATCTAATCTTATGAAGCTAGGAATCCTACCTGCTGCTAACTGGACTGTACCAGACTCTATGCCAGACTGTAACCGGTCGCTGGACATATGGTGTGAACTGTTGTAATATGTCGTAACACTAACCTAGCCTTCCAACTCGAAACATTGCCGGCTTCATAGCATACATCCATATAATATAAATACAATTTGTATCTCTGCGCTACGTTTACCAGTACTCACTGTGCTTATCTCTACCACTTCATTTCCTGTTTAATTGCGCGGCGCGCGCGATGACGCGCATGATGTACTAGTTGACCCATCAGGCCATCCCCATGTCTGCCTCGTTCTGCTGCCGCCGCAGCCTGTGCTCTGCATCCCACTCCACGGCCTCCGGCACGGCAAACCACGTCGCGTGAGCCGTGGGCTGGCGTGGCAGAGCAGAGCAGTCGGCCACACGCGCTGCGCGTGTTGGTGTGGATACCGTCACCATCGTCCGAGCACTGCATCCCCTCCGAACACGCACGGCGGGCCAACACTTTTTGTTGGCAAAAGTGTCGTGGTGGTTATTACACGGCGCGCGGCAAAATGCGACTGCACGTGTGCCGGATTTAAAAATTCAGGGATCCCCAACGATGGTGATCTGCATGCGTGCCGAATTCTGAGTCGGGGATCGGACTACACTACACCACCCCTCCGGTCGTGATCGTGTTCGGCGCAACATCTGCGTCATGCATGGACGACGTAGAACACGACAGGTTGGGTGAAGTTGGGGGGTTTGGCGTATACGTATTCAGTCCGTGTTTAGATCGGGGGAAGGTTGGAACTTGGCTACGGTAGTATTTTCGTTTTTATTTAGCAATTAGTGTTCAATTATGGATTAATTAGGCTCAAAACGTTAGTCTCGTGATTTCCAACCAAACTGTGTAATTAATTTTTTTTCGTCTACATTTAATGCTCCATGCACATATCGTAAGATTCGATGTGATGGCTACTGTGGCACTTTTTGATAAAAGTTTTTGGGAGTAAACACGCGCTCACGCCCCCAACACGTCCAAAGCTTTCGCAAGTGGAGCCCAGCTCAGTAACTCACCCCCAAGAAGAGGCCGAAGATGGAGACACGCATGCACGTGCCGCCTCTCGAGCCGTCTGCGTCAGCGGATCACCCCACCCTCAACTACTGCAGATTTCTTGAGAGTGCAGGTAATGGTGGACTGGTGCTGGTGGTATGGCCAGTTTGTATTACAAGCGTTTGACAAAGATCAAGGTTCAAGAAAAAACGCGGCTGTGTAAAATGTACTTGCAAGAAAACTGGCTTACGAGACACATGGCTCGAGCACAAAGCTTGCCTTCGGAACGGGGGGAAAAAGTACACCTCTCGAAACATCTTTTGGTCCGACTAATCACACGCTAAAGAACATGACCAAGAAGATTCGGTTATTTATTTCCCAACTTAACGAAAACAGGACTGCCGATTGATACATCTGAGCTGTAGTTACCGATTCCTCCCGAGTCGTAGTATAAAGTAGTCAAATGACCAGAAAACGCAGTTCGCACCCCTGAAAAAAGAATCGTAGTTCACTCGTCAGGGGTCCGAATCACGCGACTACACAACTGAAAATATACTGATCAGACCTAAATAGCTGACCTCTAAAATCTAACTAACTATTTGAACAAGTAAACTATAGTCTAGTGTGCATCAGAGACTATCAAATGTAAACAGTTTCAGGTAAAACGAAATAGTTAAAGTGGCACTCACTCAAGGCGCATACCCTTTAAGGCTGTAACCTAACAGATGATGATGCTATTGCTCATGTGCGTGGAGATAGTTAAAGTGGCACTCACTCAAGGCGCATGCCCTTTAAGGCTGTAACCTAACAGATGATGATGCTATTGCTCATGTGCATGGATCCCACCCAAAGCAACTACTATAGGCAACAAGTGGTTGCTTAGTTAGTTAGTTGTCATCTGTCATCACTGCACCATGCATGTCTCCAACCTAGGGTACTTGCATGAAATGAACGGCAACATGTAGATAGCTTAGATTGGGAAATACCAAAGGCGTCTCAAATCTCAATTGTTTCTTACTTTCCCTTTTGCACCCAGGCTTCTGCAAGAAAATTGGTCAACAGAGGTAGCAGGGCACAAACACATCATAATGCGGGACTGGTGATCCACACTGGCTACAAGAAAAGACCACATATGCCCAACTGACAGTCGTAGATAACTTTAGGAAACAATGATAAACACGTGGCAATAAGGGACTAGTTAATACAACTAATATAAGAGACGAACCAATTATAAACTCTTGTAGTGCTATCTTCAGTCCAGCGCAACAAGTGAGTGGAACAAAAAAGTTGCACGGCACGGTACAACAGAGAACAGAGCACATAATGCAAAGTATACCACAATGAAGAGCTCAAAACAGGTTGCACGATCCGCGTCCAAGTTAAAAACCACCACACTAGCATGTACCAAACAAAGAAATCTAGATGGTATGATATATAATATTTGCAGACAAATTGGCACCTTGAGAAAAAGAAAATAGCCTTTTTGATTTATTGCAGAACAGCCATAGTCGAAATCAGACGGTACAAATAAAGCCGTGACCACTATTTTTCATAAAACCTAAAAATACAACAGACCCATATGTCTACATCAATTACATCCTGCAAAAAAGGTAATACTCTTTTCAACAATATTGTGACAAGTGTACATATTGATGCCCTACTTCCCTACTTTTGGGCTGAAACACTAACATGCCAATCGTGCACTTAGATGGTCCAATCAATTGATAAATCCAGCTCCAAGTGCAATATTCCACCATTTCCAACAAGTGAGTGGAATCAGTATATAGTACTATGATGCAAGAAGATGACTAGAGACACCAAACCACTGGACTGGAGGACCACAGTTACCAATTGAATACATTGTTCAGCGGACTGAATAGAGCACTTAAGAAAATGTAAGCAAAGCATATTTTTTTCTTGCTATGTGTTTAAGGATGTAACAACACTAAGTGTTTTTCACATCAACTCATGAGTAAAGCAAGTACAAGTAGGATAACTAAGAAATCCCTATAGGCACTGAGAATTTGATAATCTATGAAATCACCATAAGCCTTTCAATACAAGAACGCTATGGTCATTGAGAATTTGATATACTACACCATATGCAACAACAATCAGCTAAATGATATGTCAGATATGTTTATAACTAAAACAATCAGGAGATCGAAAACCCATATTCAAGAAACCTTTTTGACATCACTAAATCTCATGGCCTCATTCATTAGATCGTCACATGTCAATTTTAAATCCAGCGTGATTTTTGGGAGAATGTTGCATAATGCTTCCACATTTGGCATTGCTCTATGAGACGGGTCTTCCAAACTGTTGCCATAGCGTTTTCCCAGTGCCTCCAAGTTCACAAGATTTTTCTTTCCTGCAATAGAACAGAAAATCCACTTAGAACTAGATCTACTTGTGCTTCAGATATACCATAATAGGCAAACAGCACAAAATCTGCAGTCAAACTGAGAACTACAAAATGATATATACCACAAGAACCATTCAAATACTAGCACAAATATGATTAATTGAATTGTGATACTGAATTCATACACATCGCAGCAGAAACACTTTCTGTCTACTACTATGCATGAATAGAAAGAGGTTGCGGTCTTAAAAAGTCCCAGATAGCGCCCCAGAAAGAGCTGTTAGGATTGTCTTAGCAAGGTGTAAGCAAACATTATATGATGAGAGGAACCCAGATGTACGATGGCATACCATCTATTTTCTTCAACTTTCTCGCTAAACGAAGACTGTCGTCAAATAGCCAATCTGAAGGAACCTGGGCTGAACAACGGTCAAACTCTTGGTTAAGGAAAGGGACATCAAAACCTTTTGCATTATGAGCAATCCACAGAACTGGCTTGCCAGGAGCTTGACGACTTCGAACATATGCTAGTAGTATTGGAAGAATATCAATGAACCTATGGTAACCAAATTCAAATTAAGATAGCACTAGAAACTACGCGCGGCTTTGCCGCGCTACACGCTGTTGCAGGGCCAGTGAATCTAATTTTTTTGGGTAAAGTCCACTTTAGGACCTCCAATTACCACAGAAGTATGGATTTCAACCTCCAACTTCAAAACCGGATAACATTGGCCCTCCAACTCTCGAAAAAGTTCACTTTAGGACCCTGGCCGGTTTCCCTGGCGGTTTTGCATGGCACTGTAGCAGTGCTGACGTCAGCGATGACGTCAGCACTTCTTTTTAATTTGCAAAATTGATATCTTTTTATTCGGAGCTTCAAATATAGCAAATAATATATCAATTTTGATCGTCTCGACGAGCTCTTTGCAATGGTGTACTCCGTTTTGTTGTTTGAGATAATTTTATTTCATGAAAAAAATAAATATTTCTACAAAACAAGTTAGAATAACAGAACTCGTGGAATTTGTTAGATAAATAATATTTTTATTATTATGTAACACGAAATGTTGTCTTTTTAGGTTCATTTGACCATAGAATATATAAGTTTGACCATTTTTGAAATGCAATAATTCAAAACTTGTTTTGTAGAAATATTTCTGCTTCGTGTCCGCCCGGTCCGCAAATATTTCTGCAATAATTCAAAATATTTCTGCAATAATTCAACAAGGGCGCCGTGTCCGTCCGGTTCTGGCTGCACGACACGAGCTTCTGCTTCGTGTGCTGCCACCTCGCGTCGGGCGGGCGCGAGGGCGACGAGGCGCACCGCAACGCCGACGCCACGGAGATCCTCGCCCGGACGACCTTCCCGCGGGGGCACGCGCTCAACTTACCGATGCCGCACAAGATTCTAGACCACGAGTAAGCCACTCACTATTGCTGCTACCTGCTCCCTCAATTCAATCTAGCTATCCACTGCCACTTCATGCGGTCATACTCATGCCATGCCAGCCAGGAAACAGATACGTACAGGTCGGCCGAATGGTCGTCCAGTTCCTGTGTGCTGCAATAGTAGCCATAGGAAAGGAAAAAGGACAGGTGTACATGAATCGTATACTGTATCGGATTTGGGTACAAGATAAATATAATACTACTACTACCACTAGCTACTTAATTTCACCACAAAAACAGAAAAAAAACTACACTAGGAGCAGTAAACATATCGTTTGATCGTGTCATATGTTGTGATTAGTTAACCGCATGACTAGGAAGGTTAATTCAAAAATATCTAAGCGATCGTGGCAGGTGTCCGATTGACCGTCCAACTCCCTTTTTATATCTCGACTACGTTGGTGTTGTACATATATAAATATACAAAGTATATAAAATACTTGCATACGTCAGCTTAATTGCATAACTTGTTTTGTAGAAATATTTATTTTTTCATGAAATAAAATTATCTCAAACAACAAAACGGAGTACACCATTGCAAAGAGCTCGTCGAGACGATCAAAATTGATATATTATTTGCTATATTTGGAGCTCCGAATAAAAAGATATCAATTTTGCAAATTAAAAAGGAGTGCTGACGTCATCGCTGACGTCAGTACTGCAAAACCGCCTGGGAAACCGGCCAGGGTCCTAAAGTGAACTTTTTCGAAAGTTGGAGGGCCAATGTTATCCGGTTTTGAAGTTGGAGGTTGAAATCCATACTTCTACGATAGTTGGAGGTCCTAAAGTGGACTTTACCCAATTTTTTAAAAAAAAGTAGGGCTAGTGAGCCTTTAATTGTGTATATGGGCACATGCACCACGGCGTCAGGGCCTCCCACTTTTTTTTAATCTCTTTAACGTGTAGTCTACTGCAGGTGTATCTGTGTATGCGTATACGGAGTACAGAGATAGCTTCACTGGCTTCTCCGCATTGGATTCTCTAGTCTCAGCCCATTGTCTTTACCATTTCTATCTCCCTCCTGCCAACTTCAGTCTGCCTTCGTCTCTCTCCACCAAAGCACTTCTCTCTGTCTCTGCTTTCTCCGATATCGATTTTTGGCACCTGGGAGATGGGAGCTTGCACGGAGCAGCGCTAGCGCGGGGACCGGCGCGAGCTCAGCTGAGCTCCTCACGGTGGCGCTATCCTGTGCGCTGCCTGCTGGTGTGGGGGACCCTGGCCACAAGAGGGTCGTGACTCGTGAGGGTGCGGATCCGCGGTTCGCTAGAGCAGATGGCATGCAGATCCAAGGCGACGGCCTAATTGGTATGTACCGGTCTTCAAGCTCTGTGGCAGGATTATTGCAATCTCATCTAATCCTAATCTTTGTACAAAGAAATTGAAAGGGGAAGTAGTAGGTAATAAAGCTATCTTTCCACTGTTAGACTAGGAGCACCCACAGCTTTATGAACGCTGTGGTGATTGATGGGATTAAGTAGAAATTGGTTAAAACTAATCCAATGGTTGTGTGTAGAAAATGGTAGGAAAGTTGATATATGATTATTGGAATTAGCGATGTTGATGACACTTTGAACAGCGCATTATATACTGCTCTTAGGGTATATTGCGTAGGATTTTTTTTGCGTATATGAAAGTTGATATATGAAAGTTAAGCATCATTCCTATAGATGGTAATATTGCGTAGGATTTTTTTTTTGCCATGGTACTTTTTTTGTCTTATATAAATAACACGTTCTTAGGGTATAGTAAGGTAGCCAAAGTGCTTGGGAAGGTAGCCAAAGTGCTTCGAGAGCTCTATTTGTTTGTGCTAGGTGCATAATAATTTACATCAAAATATTGCTAGTAGTTTTTGAGGTCTTAGTGAATCTACTATATGTATTATAGACTATGTCTTTTAAAGCAAAAGAGCAAGGATTGTTTCCTTGCATCTAATAGGGTTGTAACTCAAAAGCTTCATCTTTAGTTTGCGAGGAGAATCTCTTCATAAAAGGTTCCTGAAATCAGAAGAGAAGAAACAATAATATTATCTGGTGCTTAATTTTTTGAGTAAAAGCCATAAAAAGAAATCATTTGAATATATAGCAGGTGAACTACTAAAGATAGGAAGATTCTCAGTTTTATCTTAAACAGCAAGGTGTTTACTGTATTGTTAATAATCATCAATTGGTGTTAATGTAGTAGTCTCAACAACGATACTCATGAGTACGAATTGAAATACTTTGGTGTATCTCACATACACTGGAAATTTGAAATACAGGCGAAAACAACAGTATTTTTCAATAAAATAGATATTATATTTACCTGAATAATTCCCTTTGCCTCACTGCTTCTTCTTCTTTGATTTTTCACGGTGATATACTGATATATATCTGAGTAGGTCTCCGTTGCTTTCTGTTGAGTATAAAAAAATTATGTTGAAGTCTGTAAGATGCTATTTTTGAGAATCAGAAATATGCTCTATACCTGGTTATTTTCATCGATTTCTTCGAAGTTCCTCTTGTCTGAGTTATCATCTTGTTGCCAAATCCTGAAAGTTTCATACAAGAGCTTTAATAAATGCTAGTTTTGGAAATAAACTACTCTTTGACATACCCAGGTGGTTCGATATCCATGTCTTGTATCCCACTGGAAACCTGTGTTTGAGATGAAGTTGCCTAAAAATGTAAATAAGTGAGCTAAATGTTTGGTTAAGGTAAAAGAGATATTATATAAGGGAATCAGATTATGTGGTATGTATACCTCGGTTTTCAATTTCTTGGATGCTATGGTTATTAAAGGCGGTAGATCTGTATCTGCTGCAATAGAGGATGAACTTGATTGTGCCAATGCCATTGCAGGACCTCTTATAGGTGTTACGATCGATTGTTTGCCATGGTTTTTCTTGATCATGATTACTTCAAAAGAAGGATCAACATTGTCAGCACTTTTGTTCACTAAAATTCTGACCACGAATGTGAGCTTGAAGCCAATCCAAGCTGATATATCAGATGGAATCTGGCGTTGTTCATACTGCTTTCTAAGTACTTCTGCAGATTTTCCAATCAGCTCTGATCCTTTCTTTTCAAAAAGCACAAATTCAAGGCTATATGTCTCATCTGTTCCAATGAATGCTATTTTATACCTATAACAATATTGGTGGAAGCAGTGTAAAAATTGAGTACAGAAATCTCTATGTTAATGTGATATTATTAATTGTTGGAACCCAATAGAAAACAATATTTTATGTTGTTATTTCTGTAGAATATGTCAAAAGGAAGGAATAATAGTAATTAACAATTATTTTTTATCATTAGTTTCAATAGCATTTATAATAGATCATATGGAGCTTACTTCCACTCGAACTGTGAGCACGGACATCCCTCCTTTGAGCATTGGTATTTATTGGTCCTTGGATTTATGTAGATCCTAGAGTTGCAGACAGTGCAGGCGCGATAACACCATGGTTGATCATCTTTTATGCCAATAATTGTTACAGTGCACTGATACTTTTGTCCCTGTATTTCAATTTAAGATGTATTTAGTCTATTTGTATGTTATAGAGTGTAAACTATTTTGTAACTCTTGCAATGTACGGAACCTTTTGAACAAATGGATCTATTTCTCTGAGCTGTATTAGAGACTTTTCCTCGAGATTTTGCAGTGCATCATCTTCATTCTGCAGGTACAGGCGTTGGATAGAAACAGGGTTGCCTATTAAACTTCAAAAAGGGCGTAAGGTTAGTAACTTTAAGTTAGAAAAATAAATTTAAAAAATAAGGTTCCTGTACGGATTTTATTTTGGTATTACCTCTTCTGAAACCTTTTGATCTCTGGAATATCATTTTCATTGATGTACCACCTACATGCCGCTGTTCCACTCAAGAATGTATATTTTTGTCCATATGTCTTCATGAGTGTTCCCACAAATATAGCTACAACATGATGTTTGTGTCCAACATCTAGAACTGTCTCACCATCAAATTCTAAGGCTCTTTTTCCAGATAAGGATAAATCAATTGTATTTCCCCTTGAAACAAATAGATGATAAGGATTGGTAAGCAGGATTAAGCTGGAGTACTCAATCAAATATACATATTTGCCATTGGTAATGAATATTTATAGAAACACAGACAGTTTTTAAGTCTAGGATTGAAAAGTACAATTGTTTTTATGTTGAATTAACTTCAAGTTTATGTATCGTACCTCAAATCCTGCAGTTTTATGATCCTCCTTGTGATGTGCTCTCCTGAGGTTGAATAAGCAGTAGCAGCATTTGAAACCGCCACAATTTTTCCAATGACATCTATAAGAGTAGTAGAAAAATGTTTTAGTTGGTGTGATCAGAAAGGAAAATATATGTGTTATGACCGGCCTGCAGTACTCCAGGCGCCGACCACCAAGTTAGTGGCTAATAAGCCATAGTATTTATTTCGTGATTTATATTATTAGCAAATAACCCAAGGGTTAATTAACAAAAGGATTATTCATTAGCATAAATACTTGTAATCAGGATTATTGGAGATTAAGCAGAAACAGATTGTTTCTGGCTTCCTAAAGGGAGCCGGGAGACCTAAACCCTAGCCGCCTCTTCCTGTTCGCCTGAACTCGTGCGACCATGGCGCCCCGTCGCCGCGCGACGTTCAAACCTCGCCCTCCAATCTCCCACAGCTACAACCTCCGATCGACGAGACACAGAGGATTGCTGCCTATCAACCTGGTATCAGCGTTCTCGGTTCCGATGTCGACCTCGCTGCCCACCTCCACCACTCCGCCGCTGGCCACCAACGCCTCCGCGCAGCTGCCTGACCCGCGGACGTCCCAGCCGGTTCTGACCGCGGGAACCTTGTCGCTCGTCTCCCTCCGCCATTGGCGTCATGTCGAACGCAGAATTGACGGCAGCGGTGCTCGACCTCGGCAAGATGGTGGCCGGGATTCATGCGTTTCTTTTGGGACCGCAAGGACCGCAGCCGAACCCGCCACCGCCGCCCACGCAGCAGCAACTGCCGCCGCCGCCCCCCCAATCTTCGGCCGCCCTGTACCCCTACGGGATGCCACCCGACGACACGGCGTCCACCACAACGCCGGCGCCGTCGGTTCCCCCCGGTGGTGTGCCGATCCAGCAGATACCCTTTCCCCACTCGCCATCTCCATTGCCGCCATGGCTCACGGCGTCCTCGGCCCTGATCTACTCCACTGCGCCGATGCGCACTTCGATCCCGGCGCCCGACATCACCTCGGGCCTCGACCATGGGGGCGTTCCTGCGTCGGGCACCCTCTATGGCGGCGTCGACGGGTCGCTCTTCCACGGCTCTAGCCTCTGGCCGGCGTACACCGTACCCCCAGCGCCCGCGGCGTTTGGATCGACCGACTTCCAGCCCAAGGGCTACAAGCTCGACTTCACGACATATGACGGCTCCGTCGATCCGCTGAACTGGCTCACACACGTTTTTCTGGGGCCAGCGCACCCCGGCGGCGCAGCGGACGTGGATGGCCGCGTACCACCTCACCGGCGCCGCTCAAACGTGGTACTACGCCCTCCTGCAGGATGAGGGCATGCCTTCCTGGGAGCGCTTCAAGGAGCTGTGCCGCCTTCGCTTCGGGCCATCCATCTATGGCTCGCGGTTGGCCGAGTTGGGTCGCCTGTCGTTTCACTCCACGGTCTAGG